AACTTCTGCGGCGATAAGAGTGTTGGGCTCAGGGATGGAAAATGCATTGCTTCTAGCGGTGGGGTCGAAAGTGGGTTCGATGCTGAGGCGGTGGGTTAATGAAGGAGGGGTCGATGCCTGGCATGTCAGAATGGGTCCAGGCGAATACATTCTCTGTGCTCGGTCAGAGAGCAGTAAGGTCGGCCTTGGCTGGAAGGTAATTGGCTGCCAATTTTGGCGGTTTTGATTGGGTTGTGGGATCAATGTTAACTTCAACAAGTTCCTCTACAGGTTCACCTCTGACCAGCTCGTCCTCGTCTCGGATGTCAAGCCCTTCGATGATCATGGCCTCTTTTAGCTTGACTTCTTTTGAGTGAGGCGACTACACTCCTTGGCCACGGTCTGTTCTCCTTTGACAGTTCCGACACCGAGATCGGTAGGAAATTTGATGGCAAGATGATATGTGGATGTGATGGCTTGGAAGGCGTTTAGGGCTATACGGCCAAGGATGATGTTGTAAGCAGAGGGGCAGTCGACCACAGAAGAGGTGAGCAACTTAGTGGTCTGCCGCGGGTGCTCGCCAATGGTGATAGGTAGATCGATGGAACCGATGGAGGTCACACGGTCGCCGGTGAAGCCGACTAGAGGGGTTTGGAGAGGAGACAAGCTTTCTTCCCCAATCTTGAGCTGGCGGAAGCAATTGAGGAAGATGTATGTCTGAAGAGCTGCCGTTGTCTATGAGGACTCGTTTGGACCTTGTAGTTGGAGAGGATGGCGGAAATGACAAAGGGGGTCATCATGTGGGTAACGGACTCCTGCACAGTCGGTGTCGGTGAAGGTGATGGGTTCGATCCATTGTTTTGACTGTTTGGGAGGTCGGTCCACCGTCACCACTGCTTTGTCTGAGCCCTGCCTGATTTTTTCTGAGCTCTGCCTTCTGAGCCGAGCGGGATGGTCCCCCCACAAGCAAGGCCGCCTGAAATGACTCTGATTTCTCCGATTGGTGAGGGGGATTGCCTGGAGGCCGAGGCTGTGGTGGTGGGCGATCGTGGCCTTGGTTAGGTGGGGCTTGATTGCGGGGTGGTGTATGTCGGCGATTGTTCCTTGGAAGGTCGGTTCTTTGCCTCTGCTGAGGGCGGGTGCCTGTGAATCGGCTGAGGCGGCCCTGGCGTATGAAGGTCTCGATCTGATCTTTGAGGTTAATACACTCGTTGGTGGTATGGCCATGGTCTTGGTGGAAACGGCAGTATTTCGACTGGTCTTTCCGAGTGGAAGGGTTTCGTGAAGGTAAGGGCCACTTGAGGGGGTAGTCCCGCTAGATCTGATTGAGGACGTGTTCCATGGGAGAGTTGAGTGGTGTGTACTGCTCGAACCGACCGGGCGGTCGGGTCGGAGCCGACCGGTCGGCTCGGTGCAGTCGGTCATTATAGTGGGGTGTTTGGCTATTATACTGGGTGGTCCTGGGTTCTGAGTCTTTCCTCTTGTCTCTGGGGGTCGGATTTTTAAGGGTTGGCTCTCGCCGAGCGGCTAGGGAATCTTCAGCATTTATGTATTTCTGGGCTTTGGATAATAGGGCTGCCATGGTGGTTGGAGGGTTTTTGGAGAGGGAGAAAAGAAAGTCGGACGACCGCAGGCCGGCCATGAAAGCCGTGAGGATGACCTTGTCGTCATTCTCTGCTACTTGAAGGGCTTCGGTGTTGAAGCGGGTGACGAAGCTGCGGAGCGACTCCCCCTCGGTCTGACGAATGTTAAGGAGTTGGGTGGCTGGGCATCTCTGACGCTGGGCTCCAATAAAATGGCTCAGGAAAGAGTCACTGAGGTGTTGAAAGGTGGAGACGGAGTCCGCCGGTAACTGGCTAAACCACAACCGAGCTGATCCCTTCAGTGTCACTGGAAAAGCTCGGCACATGATCTCATCAGGGAAAGCATGGAGGATCATGAGGATGCGGTAGGTTTCCAGATGGTCGACTGGATCCGTCGTGCCATCGAAGGAGTCAATGGTAGGCATCTTGAACTTGGCGGGCAATGGTTTGTCGCGGATGGAGGCAACAAAAGGCGAGTTGGCGGTGACCCCTTGTAGTTGGAGTTTCATAGCTCGGAGTTCAGCGTCCTAGAGGGGAATGTTGTCGCCATGGTCGGCCAATGGAGGCTGGACACTGCTAGCTTCCCCCTCAGGAGCCAGTGCTACGACTGACGGGCATGGAGGCGAAGGTGGTAGGCTTACATGTGGAGGAGGAGGGGGTTGTAAACCTTCTGGGTTGAGCAGAGGGAGGGGGTTGTGGAGCAGTGTGGCCTGGGGTTCTTTCTTGGTTGGGTGGGATATCTGGAGGTGGAACGGGGAGGTTTCTTTGGAGTAAAGCACTGATCAGGGCCTGGTTTTGCTCGGCCATGCAGTTAATGCTGTTAGTGAGTTCGATGATGTATTGTGGTGGGTTGTTTGGATGGGAAGGGTCTGTTTGATGATTGGCGGTATTGTGGTGAGAAGCTATGGACCTAGTCGTGACCATACACCTGGACGGGTGAGAGGAAAAGGTAACGGTGAGAAAGGAGGGCTCCGGTGATAGTGAACACAACTAGCGCACGAATAAACTACAAATTTTCCACAGACGGCGCCAACTGATAATGCAGTCCGTCTCGGGTGGATGGGTCGGGCTGGTCCAAGCTCTTCAAGCTCCGATTCAGGGTGATGATTCCGCCAAATGACCTGCAAGCAAGTCCAAAGGGAAACGGGGCAGTCCCCCAGTGAACCCTCCGGCGAGAGAATCAGTAGAGGAAGAAAGAAATGTAGAGAGAGAGAGAGAGAGAGAGAGAGAGAGGGATAAAAAGCTTAACCTTCCTCTTGTCTTCTATTCTTGCTTATATCCTTTGGTAATCATTTCACTGTCCCTTGTGACGTGCCCCCTTCCGCCGAAAGCCTGTGCCGTAGCTTACCTTGTTTAGGGTGAGGGAGCTCTGTTCCGACGGGGAGGTGTTGTCGTAATAAATGCTGTGATGGGCTACATTAATGGTGATGTGTTGTGGTAATAACTCTGCAGATCTTTGTCTGCTGATGTGGCCTGTGTTCCACCTACCATGTGCCCGAATGCCATTGGCCCTCCATGTCTAGATGGCCTCCAGCTGTCCTGAGCTTTACCAACCAAGTTATGCTATTGGTCCCAAGCGATGGGTTTGGGGTGGTTTGCTGTGGGTCGTATGCCTTGTAGGCCTATCCATGTCAAGGTTAATGTTGTTACCAAAGAAATCAAATTTATCTTAAATAGAAAATCTAACGTCGATGTCAAATGAAAATAACTGTTAATAATTGTTGCTTGGACATATGAGCATGGAAATTAAGGCACTCAATTCCTTAATCAAACAAGCTACCTCTAATTCATGAGCCTGAGATGAGCCCCATATTTGTGAGAGATTATTAAACAAGATACACTAAAATAAAACAAACAGGCATATTGGACATTCAACATTTGGACAAGGTGCGGGATGTATTCGATTTTTTCTAGTGATGTATAACAGCACAAATTTGAAACCCTCCAATTCTAGTTGAAATTATATTAAAAGATGGGTTTTGTTAAGGAGACATTAAATGATCTTAACAAACCCCATTACCATGGAAAATTGAAAAAAATTATAAATATTGTATGTTTAGAGACCAAACTATCATTTTCTTCAATTATCTCTATTTTAATATTTTTATATACTTTTCATAGGGGAATATTTTAAAAATATTTTTTTATTATAAAAGTGAAATCCCTTAATTTTTTTAAATGACGTTTTTTTAATTTTTTTTAAATGTAATTTAAAATAAAATTCCTTCGTTGATTGATATTATGAATTATAAATTTCTTCGAAAATGACGCAAATGGTCCACAAGAGGTAAAGTTGATTTCAAACCACAAGGATAAAATAAATTTTACCTCATTATAAATTTAAATTTCACCAAACATGTTATAAGTGATAGAGTGACTCAATATGGATTCTTTGTAAAAAAAAATAAAAAACAAAATCAATAAATTACAAAAGCCTTTTATAATCTTATGAAAGATAAAGAAATCTATATTATTATTTTAATCGAGAAGTATACAACTAAATATGTTAAATATCTAATAATAAGTCGTCAATTAAAGTATATCGGAGTATAAAATAGATTTCAAAATGTATAGAGAGAATCTTACCGCATGAAGGATATAAAAATATGTTAATTTAGATTACTTGGCGTTTGTTTTATGAGATTGAAGTGCGGGATTGGATTCCATGTCTAATAAATTTATTTATTCATTGTTTAGTTCGTTTAGTGAAGGTTGGATTACAAGTCAATAAATTTAACAATACATAATGTATTGTAATTCGCTCTTAGTGCGTCCTTCTAAACAAATATCCCATTAAGGTAAATTACAAATAGACACTCTGATTTTTGCTTAAATACAATTTATATCCTACAATTCTAGAAATTATAAATACCCCTTGTCAACATTTTTTATTTAATAAATTAAGAAAAAAATATCTATTAACAAAATTTATAAAAATAAATTACAAACCAGTAGTAAGTTTTACCAATACTAATAATGAAAGTTTAAAAGTTTTTATTTATGTATAATAATATATTTTAGGATAGTAATTTTTCAAAAAATACAATTTTTATATACCAAAAAATTATCTAAATTATTTATTTAAGGAAAATTTACCCATAAGTCCTAGTTTTTGAAAAATTGAACCATTTAGTCCTAAAAGTTTTCTTATGCTCCATTTAGTCTCATTTGCACATCAATCTAATGTTCGAAATATTAATCTGATATTCGAAATCTAATGTTCGAAACATTAATATGATGTTTGAAATCTAATGTTCTAAACATTAATCTGATATTTGAAACATTGTAATGGGACCTTTCAGTTTATAAGAAAACTTTTAGGACTAAACAGTGTATAAGTTATTAATTTAGGATTTATTGGTGCATTCCCCTTTATTTAAATATAAACATATTTCTAGTAGTTCAAAATACATATATATACGCGAGCTACAAGTGGAGGCCAAACAAAAACCCCTCACTCCAAAAACCCCTCCTTCTGTTCGTCTGCCCCAATCAAACCCTAATCGTCATACAGAGCCATGGCCATCACGCGTTCCGGCAGAGGGCGCCCTTTTCCCGTCGACAACCAGCCCTACCCGGCCAGCCGTGGGCGTGGGCGTGGTCGTTGCTGTGGCCGTGTCCTTATCCGTCACCGATCACCCTCCCTACCCTTGAACCCAACCCCAAATCAACATTGACAGGAGGAGGAGGAGGAGCTCGTACGAAATCAATTAGTACCGGAGGAGCAGGAATCAATAATGGAGGAGGAGGTGGAGTCCGTAGAGAGCCTTATAGAAAGCTTACAGAAAGAATATCTGGTGGCTCTGGTTATGGAAGCAATCTCCAATGACACTCATTTGATTGAGAGGGTTCGTAATCTGGCTGAGGTTGATCCTGTCAGGACATGACCCCCTCTCACTTCCGAGCGTTGAATTCTTTCTTTGGAAGATATGGAGAAATTGAAAATTGCACCATCAATATCGAATAGATATCTGGGAAAACAGAGAGCCGAGCCTACATTACCTTTAAGCAGCGAAAGGCCGTGTGGGAGACAGCGAAGCAGCCATCCCATAGGATTGGCGACATCTATGTCAGGTGCATACAGCCCTCTCTTTGGCGCTCCCCAGCGCTTCCTGCTGGTTGCAATCGCCCAATTACAATCCTCTAATCTTCGAATGGGATGCATATTGAGATGTCAATATAAGTTACCAGAAAATCAGTACGCCACCACCTTCTCCACCACCGAGGAAGAAGAGAAGCCTCAGGGACTCACAACCTGGTTTCATTAGTGAAGGAAGGACTGATGAAAACCCCAACTATACTAGAGAGCCTCTACAAGCACGCTGAGATTGATCCGACTCTTCGACATATTGCAGCTTACTGCGTTGGCCCCTATTTCATGACTAATAGGACGATTGTGAATTCAGTATTTGAAAGATATGGTGAGAAAGAACACTGCATGTTTGATTTTGATTTTGATGAAGATGGTGTTCAAGTATTATTCAAGCACCAAAACAGTGCATGGAAAGTGCTGAAAGAACCATATCTAAAAATCGGTGATTACCTCACAAGGTGCATGCGACCACCAGGAAGCGGTGCCATGCTTTTGTGGATGGACTGTTGAACAATGAGCACCAGCCACCCACAGCTTTAGGTGGGTGTCTTTAGGTAAGAACAAAATAAGATATATTTAACGGCTTGATATGTGTCTTTGTTGTGATGTTTTACTTGGTGCTTATACACAAAATTTTAACCTGTTTTGCAAAGTTATTAATAATCAAATATTTGATTTTTTGTTTTGATTAAAAAACAAATAAAAAAAAAAACAAAAAAAAGGGAAAAATATTTCATTCTTCGTTTTGATATATAAAAGAAAAGAAAAAAGCAAAGATAGAATAGGAAGTGTTAGTGTATGCAAATAACTGATTTTTGCGTATTGATGTTGCATGATATAATGATTAATGACTTCACATTAAGACGCATGAATTTATAGCACACTATCTAAATGGCTAGTTAACTTACTTACATTTATTATATGAATAACAGCCACAAACACTCAAAGTGTTAGTTGGAAGCTTGTCATTGTGATGCTCTAAATTATCAGAGCCTCAAATTATTTTGGCATCATCTGACAAATGTTGGCGTATGATGTAGGGTTTACTTTAGACCTATGTTGCTGTTAGATAGTTTAGGGTGGTTGTTTTAGCTATATATTTATATGTGTGGAGTTTAGTGGGTTTGACAGTTTGAGAGGCACTTAGTTATCCTGAAGGGATGGAGGAATGGAGTTTATTGTTAAACTTGAGCCATAGATTGTTAATTTATGATAGATATTTGGATTTTGTAGTTTTTTCTATACATATGGAGGTAAAAGATTGTTTTGGTTTACTACTTTACAGTTCACTTGAAAATGTATATGGGTGGGATAGGCTAGTCGTATGGGATAATATAATGCTTAAATAAGGTAAACCATTTTTTCACAATTTCATTGGTATAAATGTCAAGACTATTTTTTTTAATTATCCTTTTTTTCCCCTCTTTGTGTTGATTATTGTAGAAAATCCAAATATAATTGGTGGAAAATAAGGGAAGGTTGGATAAATTTCTAAAGTTATTTGGTTGATAGTGGCTTTAAAAGTGAGATTTTGTCATGCTGTATGATGCATGGATTCCCCTTGCTTGAGGTTTGAGATTGCAATTGGCAGCAGTGGTGAATTTTTTTGAGCTTCTATGTTCTAAGAGAGGAGTGAATATGGTGAAATGGAGGGGGCAGAAGTGGTTAATTTTCTTGAAGAATTTTATTCTATCTACTTATAATCCCCTCCTAGCATAAACTATTTGGAAGACTGCGGGGGAAGGGTGTTCCTTTTGTTATTTGTGCTACAATTTTGGATTCCATTTTCACTATTAATCAAGGTTGTCAAATTGGGGTATGAATCATGAATCAAAATGCTTTTTTTTTTTTTTTCTTTCCTGAAATTTAAATCGCATTGGAATCTTAAATTGATTCAATTTACATAATAATATAATATGTTTCTAAATATGTGGTGAAATCATTTGGTCAAGTTTATTAAAATACATCAAAAATGTATTTATGCATTTAGATAATAAAGATATATTGAAAAAATGAGTATTTTAGGCTAAGAAGCACGGACACTTCTAAGAAGGTGACGTATCCGTGTCGTGTCCGTGTCGGACACTGACACTCTTTGGACACTCTTAGGACACGTGTCCGATACTCTTTAAAACGTGTCCTATTTTTTAAATATTTTTAAAGACCCGGACACTCTTTGGACACTTAGAGGACACACATGTCAATTGTTTAAACACATGTGTCTATTGATTATACATATGTGAAACTAATTATAAGTTTGAACAAAACAACTTAAGATATATAGGAATTAGTGCTATATTGCATTTTTTATTATCTTTGAATGATATATTCATATATATAACATATAATAAATATATAAAATTATATATTTCATGCGTGTCCTCCACGTGTCGTGTCCTGTATTTTTTTAAAATTAACGTGTCGGCGTGTCCATGTCGTATTTGTGTCGTGTCACGTGTCCGTGTCCATGCTTCTTAGATTTTAGGTTTAAGTCAATCAAAAAGCTTGATTTCAATTAATCCCATGGGGTTGGCCTAGTGGCAAGGCTTTAGTCTTGGGGGTGTGCCCACTCCAAGATTCAGGATCGAAACCTCTTAGGTGCTAACAATTCTGTTAGGCCATCGGATTAGGGAAACCCTTGCACCCCGGTGCCAATCAAAAAAAAAAAAAAAAACTTGATTTGAATTATGAATTGATAATCATTTGGTCTAACCCCGGTGCCCACTCCAATCTTTTGGTTTTTGTCGGTTATGTTGTGATGTTTTTAATTCTCATCGTTTTGGGCAAGTGGGTGTTGAGTGAAGGTGTGGATGACATGTGATGAAGCTGTACTTACTAATGACATTGTGAATCTATGATTCAATGTGCGTGCACTAGATAAGACAACGGTAATGGAGTGCGGTATTGGAATGCTAGTCATTATGTATTCCCCAATCTGCTGCTAGTTTTGGATCATATCAATGTATTGTAAGTTTAAGGGCTCATAGATCACCCACACCAATGCTCATGCTTGAGTCTATGTAACATAGATGATTCCTTGTGCTATAAAGGTGTGTAAGATGAGTTCATCCTACGGAGTTTATCGTGTTAAGTTTTGTTCTTATAGACAATGGGTTGGAGATACCAATGAAGGTTAATGTATTGTTTGATGATCATGGTTTATGATCTTAGAAGAGTGAGTGTTTAGAAGAGTGTGTATGTGTTTGTTTGTTTTCAAATTGGATGGTCGGTATGTCCATATTTTTGTTATGCATCTACTGTTTTAGGTTAATGCACAAGGCAATGATGATCTGAGATCCTTCAATCAGTATGAGTGACTTGCGTTAGTGTTATTTAAACTGTTAATATTATAAAGTCCACTAGCATTGCAATTTATTCTTGTTCCAATTTTGCTATATGTGATGGAAATATTGCTCTTATGTGTAGTAAATAAATTGAAGCTAGTCAATATTGGACAAATTTTGTGTCATATTTCTATAGGCTGAGAAATTGTTTATATGTTTGGACTGTTGATTTACTTATCCCAAAAGGTTTAGATTGTTGTTTTGAAGTATGTTCCTATGTCAAATTCAATTTAGTCATCTCTACCATGTTAAATATTAAAACTCTTCTTTTTTGTCCCCTTTTTTATTTTTATTGTCATTAGTCCCTTTTTTGTTACAAAAATTATTGTGCCCCCATCCTGGTTGGATAGACAATGGGTGTAATACAGGATATGCAGTTTCAGCCTCCAGTTTGTAATTGTTGGTTTTGTACTTGAAATATTTTCTTCTTATGATGAGATTTTTATTTTTTATTTTTTATATATGATTTTACGCTTTCATTGTGCAAATTCATCAAACGTTTTATACTCTAGTGATTCATCGAACTGAAAGTTTTGGATTGGTGATTTTGTATGAAGTTCCTGATGCTCGTGTAGATGATGCTTTAATTATTGTTTACCTAATGACTAGAATCTACATTCTCCGTACCTTCCTATCTATTCAAGTACTTCATTTTTTTGGATGTTTCCTGAACAATGTGGTATTTTTGTGTCAATATTTATGTTTCTAAAGAACTATTTGGGGAGAACATCGTCAGAACATCAGTTGTGTGGATTTTTGGGCATATTAATTTTTCTGCAAGTGCTTTATAATGGAATTATGTTCATAATTGAAGTTGATAGTATTGTTTGTTTATGTGGTGCTTTGTTGTACTGTTATTGCATAATCATCTTTGACGTCTTTCGTAGCCTTATTTTAGCCACAGTGTGAATCCATCCTATACCAATCAGTATTGCAGGTGGAGAGGTGGAAAGGCCTAACCCCCGCCCCACCCCCCCACACACACACTCTTTTTACATGAAGGTAACATTTCTCAAGATTTTTTTTGGTTTGTTTTGCTTTTTCTTTATTGTTCACCTCCCCAGGGCGGGGTGTAAGGTTCAAAAATTTCCTATATATTTGATGATGGATGGTTCAAGACATGCTTAACTTTAAGGGATGCAGAGTTCTGAAAGCAAAACACATGAATGAATTGGGAGTGTTTCCCAATTAATGGGATTGTTTCCATCCCCTTTTCATACTAAAATTACCTACAATGTGTAGTTTCTCCAAATAATTAGTGAGTATTATTGTCTCAAATTAGATTTTGAACCCCTCTCAATTTCGTATTGAGAACAGAGTTTTATTATAATAATTTTGGCCACACACCTCGCAAATGAAAACTAATTGAATAAAAGAATTGCAATTTGTGATTTTATGGCAATGACTCTTAATTAAATTTGTAATTTTCACATGCATATATTATTATTCAAATGTCATCTATTTATCTAATTTATTCAAATATCACCTATTTCTACACGTGATACCTATCTATTTACAGATTTGTCCAATATCACTTATTTGTCTAACTCACCGTTACCAGTCGCCACTGCCATCCATCGAGTCCCAACGACTTTTACAATGACTTTTTCTACCAATTTTCTGGTGCCGACAAATTTTTATTACTTGCCTTATCACCAAAAAAATATTAAATCTTGGGCCAAGTAACATATTCCATTAGTATGGACCTTTCACCAATTAACCCTAAAAATATTTAAATTTTTATTTTTCCTTTGCACTGTGTTTGGTTGACAGATTTGGAAAGAAAAAATAAAATGGTGTGTGAAACTAGATGAAATGTAGGTATATTTTATTCATATTTCACCTACCTTTTCCTTTCTAAATCCCTTCCCAAATCTCCTAACCAAACTCTGCGTAAAAAAGTTGTATATATTGAATTTATGTGTTTATAATCTCGGGGACATTAAGAAACCAAACATTTTAGTCAAAAATTTATTATAAATTGTTAAATTATTCTTTCTATATTTTTATACCTATTATTATAAAAAAAATTTAAAAATATTATAACGATCAATTCTCAAAGTAGCCCAAAACTTCAGAGGACATTTCACACGCAACATTTTATTTAAGTTTATTATCCTAATTGTTTTACTTGGTGGAAATTACATTTTTGTCATATCATAATATATCAAATATATATTTTTTTGGGTGAATATCAAATATTATCATTTGATAACATGAAAAGAGAAGAGACATTATATAATATATATTTACGTTAAAAATAACTAAAAATTTAGAAATATACATACCCAGCATAGGTTTTAGTTTAAAGAGTTAACAACATCCTCCTCCTTGTGAAATGTTACTTGAGTTTTTATCCTTTCAATTGTTACAATCAATTTTTTACACTTTAAATATCATGTCAAGTATGTATCTTGTCCTTTTTATTAATATGATCTTTAAATGAGGCTATTACAAATAGAATTTTGAAGTAATTTTACATCTAATCATTCTATTGTTTAGATGTCATGATATCTATTATGTGTATAATCTTTATTTTTTATTTTTTATTTTTACATTATGTAGGGGGTTTGAAATGTACAGTGATTATGAGAGTAATCGGAGGGGCAAAACTATGTTAATGAGTTAACAAATCTAGGAAGGTTGGAGAATGAGTAGTTAGGCGAGGGTAGAGCAAGTGGTTCAAGAAGAAGGAAATGACAGCTCACAAATAGGCAGCATATCCCCTAAATCCCAAGAAGTTCTTCTCTTTGGCCTTGGAAAATAGGTTCTATTTATAGGTTTTTCCTTGGTACCAAAGGATCCAAGTGGCCAAATAAGATGAGGATATGTGTCCCTAAGGATCACATATAATATTCTGTCTTAGACCACCGTCTCCAAAGCATTACCAACCTAGGGCTGATAGCAGGCCAAGTCATTATTAGCTCGCCACTGATGGCTAGCCTCGAAGCTCACTAGCTTGGCGCTGATAACAGGCCTCAAAGCTTACTGGTTGGAGCTGATAGCAGGCCCAGAGATACCAGTATACCGTGGCGACCCAGTGAAGATGGGAGCAAGGTAGCCCGAAAGTAAGGAACTCCCTTCCCATTTACTCAGGTCATAGACCTGCCTTGGTTGCACATGCAGGACCAAGGAAGCCCACTTGGGCTTGGTACAAGGCACAACCCTAGCTGTGGCCTTCACCTTGGAAAGTTGGGGAGTTTGTGGTTAGGTGGCTAAAGGTGGAGGAGTCGCTGAGGTAAACACAATCAACGCCAAGCATTAGCCTTTACTTGTGGAAGGGAAGTCTCTCTCAAAGGCTGCTATAACCCTAGTGAAGTCTTTCCTCTACAAGTTAGTTACGGTGGTTGTAGTTGCTGCGGTAGCTATTTCCCTTAGCAAGTTCAAATGGCGGCGCCAACAATACTAGAGATGGCGGCACTGACGAAGTACCTCAGCAACTTGACTGCTGCAAGTGCTGCCTCAGCAAGTTAGTTGCTTCGGTTTTCTCTTTCCCTCAGCAAGTTCAAATAGCAGTGCCAACAATACTAGGAATGGCAACGTTAAGACAAAGTGTCTTAGCAACTTGACTATTGCAAATGTTGTCTCCACAACTTGACTTGGCCTCTTTTTTTTTCATGGAGCTTATTCGTACCTTTGGAAGGTTGGACTTGTTCTAGTCCACTGTTTACCCATTTCCCTTGAGTTTCAGCTCATACTCCTTTAACCATTCTTGCTCGACTAACAAGGGCGACCTCAGCACTTAGGTCCATACTTAATTCCTGTCCCTTTACACATTATTTGCAACAATGATAAATATCATGATTTGGTAAGAAAGACATTTAAAAGTTAGGCTTGTCAGCAATGTTTGAAAACCCGGACCAGATCGGTCAGTCGAACCAATTGAACCAGTGATCGGACCTAGTTCTGGTCCCAATGACCCTCCAACCTCGGACTATGCTCAAAACTAGCTTGGAATTTGAAAACCGGTAGAACCGTCCATTCAACCGGAAGAACCGTCGATTCAACCCGAATAATCGGCAAATCGGTCATGGGTCGACATAAGAATCGGCCGGGTTTGAAGAATTGAAGTTTTTTTCAAAAATATGTTGAGTGAGTTTGAATATGGAACCAAGTGCATAAAAGGTAAGCACTCAAATAACTAAGCCATCAACACAATTGTTGACAATGTAATAAGTATATATACTATATATTCAATATTATCTTAATTGTTTTTACGAAAAATCAATGTATAAAAAACGTAAAATAAATTTTAAGAAATATTTTTTTTTGTAATTGTTTATTATTTATTATTTTTTTTGTAATTTTAATATCTATATTTATTATACTTATGAATTTTAATATATTTATGACACAATATCATGATTCAATTTCAGTTCACTCGCAATTAAACTAGTGACCCGTCTGTCCGGTTACTTTTTCGATCCGCTCACCAATCTGATTTTCAAAACATTGCTTGTTAGCTTCAAAACTATCAGAAAGTCCATTTAGGTCAATCAACCTTAATGTAACGCCCTGAAATAATGACAATAGCCCATCCCATAATATTTCTAACAATTGATCAATAACATCGTAACTTATATTCCATTTATAAACTTGATGATACAAAAGATGACATATGCAAATACATTCATAAATCCTAAATTCTGAATCTATAGTATATGACATGGATACATGAATTAAAGTAATCATATGCCCTAATGGCTACATTTTTCCAAGTCGATGTTTGGGTACATCAAAATGAGTTCAACTCAATACAATTAAAGCCTAGGGCTTAAAAAAAAAATTATTACATCAAATAAACAAAAGAAGCTCTTGGCTCCAAACCCTCCAAAGCTATGTCCTTGGTGGAGGTATATCATCAGCACCTGAAAGTTGTTTTCTACATAGGGTGAACCAAAGCTCAGCAGGGATACTTTAACACAATATGTGAATCTTAACAAAGTCATAAGGTGAATGCACATGCACACCATTTGTCAAATATTTCACATTTTCCTTCTCAAAACTATGCAATGCCAGGTTATATATCAATTCATGAAAATCATCTTTTTATAATAGAAAATAGGGCAGCGGATACAAAACACTGAAAATATCTAGGTACTAAAATTATGTAAGAAGTCTCTATGAATTTCATGGTATGTCTTTTAGCTCCTTTAAGCTACTTTATTAAGAAAATGGAAATAAACATTCTATATAATATATATGCACTTTTGGTAGAAATATTAGCTTCTTATATTTTGCATAATTTGATGGCAGAGGTTTTGGAAAAAGGCATTCCTATGCTCTGGGGTTTTCTGCTTTTAGGAGACAAGCATGCAGATAAAGCAATAAAAATTTAACAATCCTTTTTTGTCATAATTTATTTGGAACGTGTTTTTATTTATATATGTGTGTACATATATAGGTATATACAGATTTCTCGTTTCAGCTGAATTGCTTTTGCATATTTGAGCTCTTTTCCAACAAGTCGAATAGTGATGTTTATTTTTTCTCGCATCTTTTCAATAGTGGGTAGAAATGCATATGGAAAGTTGTTCCTTGTTTTAGTTTGTATGCACAATCATACAATTATACAATAAATAATCGATGTTTAGGCTCGAGTAGAAGCATGAGCTTTAGGATGAAAGGTTGTTCTGCTTGTTTTCTCAAGTCAATGGCGTGTAGTTGCGTGGGGACCAGGTGCTGGATTGGGGTTCTTGTGGGAAAGCACCATGGTTTGAATGATCCAAACACTCTAATCGAAATCTCATTCTCTAAAAAGCTAATATAGAAAATGGTATAAAGTAGTTAAGAAAAAGAGAAAAAATGATGTAGAAAAATTCTGATCTGTCTGTGTTTATGCATATGTTCATTTAGTCTTTTATTTTGCTGCTAGGATACTGAAAGATAACATAAGGAAATAAATTGATTATATATTTGGTATTGCTTGTGTATTTACATTTCAATTCCATCACGTCCCCTTCTGTCTTTCAGGAAGTTACATCTCGGAATCCTTTCAAATGCATTGTTGACTGGTTGGAGGATAGAAGCAATAGGTGTACAGACAATTATTAGTACTGTTTTATATTATTAATCTTTTTTAGTATCACAGGAGCCAAATTATACCCCACCACCATTCTGCCTAGTTGTATTAAAAAACATATAGACTGCTAGACTCCACAACAATGTAAACCAAAATCCCTGACTATTTATTAATTCTCTATTTGACTTTTTTGTAATCCACTACTGTTCTTTACGTGTTTGCTTACTTTTAGTCAGTGACGAAACCCAATTGTATTGGTTGTTGATGGCGCTTCAATGCTAACTCTTTCTATCCTATAATTGTTTAGTACAAAATTCTATTATCATGTTGTTAGTATGATGTATGCTGGAAAAGGGAAAAATTCAAGCAACATAAGCTCTGTTTGTTTGAGTAGAAAATATTTTTTTTTTCTTATTTTTTTTTTTTGGCTTTTTGTACAACGAAAAACAAAAGTCAATGGAAAACAAATTTATTTGAGTATAAAGTGTTTTCCACCTTGAACGGGTGGAAAACGTTTTCCAAACTAAAATCTTAACAATGCCACCATAGTATTAATACCACCATACCGCCATCACCACCACCACCACCACCACCTCTGCCCCGCTGCCACCATCACCACCACCCCACCACCACTAATACAACCTTTAATACATATTTCAAGGATGCAACAAAAACATTGGAAAATGTTTCCTGTCGAACAAACGGAGTGATAGATTAGCTTCATGTTTTCTTAACTACAAATTTGTGTATTCTTCATTATTCAATCAAGTTAAAACTATGTTTTTCAATCAATATGACTTTCTATTCCAAGTGCATGTATTATACATTCTTAACTAGAAAAGAGAGAGGAATAAAAAAGAAAAAGAAGAAGAAGAAGAAGAAGAAGAAGAAAGAAAGAACAATGACAACATGAACACTATAAAACTGCAAAACTCAGTATAACTAGGTGTGATCATAATCTTGAGGAAGCTAACTAATTGTGAAGTGGGTTTGGTCCTGCTGGAATGGTTCATTGTGACACTCCATAAACTTGGTCGATTTGTTAATTTCTAGATTCCCCAGGAGCTGTTGCAGAGAGATGCTGTGAAAACCAAGAATAGAATTCGTTTCTAAATCTTTCGTCAGTTCCTTCAGTAGCGATTCTGTGGACGTTGCGACCATTTGAAAGCTCGCTAATAACAAGCATCATCATTATCATGATCAGAATTGGGACTATATGATGTTGAATTCCCATGAATATTGCTTATGAGAATACTCAATAAGACTATAACAGAAGCAAAGGAATGCCAATTTGAAAAACCATTTGCTGAAGGGGCTTGAGTGTTGACTTGCATCAATTGCTATGGGTTTTTTTGATAAAAAAATGAGCTAACACAGACACGTGCCGGGACACACCAAGGTCAAACAAGTTGTACATGTTGCCTTCCAATCTTATGATTGACTGACTGTAGGTGAAGAATGGGTATTAAGAACACCCATTGTTGTTGGCTAGGATTTTCTAGCAAGGTTTGTTGCCTGTTAGGCTGTTACCAGATGACTTAGATGTGCACAACTTTGTACCTTGCAAAACACAAAGATAATAGTGGGCTGTTTGTTCTAGCTTTAACAATTCCAATTGATCATTAACAGGGGAAAGCAAGTGATGAACTAAAACAAAGTTTCACATTCTTATGATGTAGTGAAATTTTTGCGTTTGGGGGCTTCACTCTGAGGTTATATTTGGTTGATTAGAATGGTGCTAGATGGGAATGGAATGACGGTTGGAATGGATTTGGAATAGAATGAGTTAGGAATAATCATTCCTATTCCGATGTTTGGAAATAACATAGGAATCAATGTAAGAATGGCATTGCCATTCCAATTCCTATGTAATGATGATTGGAATGGAATGAAATTTGTAATAAATTGGCCAAAATACCCCAATCTTATGAAATGGTGAAATTGCAATGATGATTGGAATGAAATTTGCAATAAATTGGCCAAAATACCCCATTATTATGATGTGAAATTGCAATGATGATTGGAATGGAATGAAATTTGCAATAAATTGGCCAAAATACCTCATACTTATGATGTGGTGAAATTGCTGGGTTTGGAGGCTACACTCTTAGGTTATGTTTGGTTGATTAGAATGGTTCTAGATGGGAATGGAATGATGGTTAGAATAGATTTGAAATGGAATGAGATATGAATAGTCATTCCTATTACAGTGTTTGGAAATAACAAGCAATCAAATCAGTATGGGAAATGTCAAGTTTGAGATTTAACCAAAATCTCACTCAATTTTTTTGTTGCCCAGCTAGGCAACCCAAGAGGTGGGGGTGAATTGGGTTAATAAAAATAAATACAGAAATTTAAATATAATAAATCAAGTAAATAAATTTCAGCAAGCAATCAATAATAATGAAAATGAAAGTGAAAGGAATGAGAGATTAAACACAAGGATTTATAGTGGTCCCGCACACCGAGCCTACGTCCACTCCTCAAGGATCCTCCTCAAGAATTTTTTCACTATGAATCAAATCAATACACCACTAAAGCTTCACCAAGCTTGTGGATTTTTACATAGGGATTACTTTATCCATTGAGGACGTCTCAACTAAATGCCTCACTTTACAAGTTTTCATTCAGAATAAAAGAAATAAGAACAAGAGGTATAACTGTCCTCTCTTACAAGATTTCTCTCTCAAAAGATGTTTATGAAAGTGTAAGAGCAAAGGGAATTTTGAGATACACTCAGAATAAACTCAAATATGAAAGTGAAAGTACAAGTGTAATATGTAGCAGATATTGATTAGGAATAGTACTTGAATGCTCAGAGTTCTTCACTTATCTCAGATCTGGAGAAGTGCTACAATTATAGATTTCAATGTCTTCTAGCCGTTGGAGAGAAGGATGGGTGTGTCTTCTAGCCGTTGGAGCAGAGAATGGGTGATGTCCTCTAGCTGTTGGAGTAGAGCATGGGTGTGTACAGGCTATTATCAAGCCTTTGGAGATGGAGCCTCCTCAAAAGATGTGATGCCCATCAATACAGATTTTGGTAGGTGGAGATAAGATATGTCTCCATAATGATGATAGCAAATTTTGCTCATAGATCAAAAATGGCGGCTAGGTTTTGAAACCCAGATTTAAGGGAGTCGACCCTTGCAGTTTTGGTGTGAACCTTTTTCTGCTGGAAGATTTAAACTTTGTTCTCTGTCTTTTGGTGTCGACCCTGGCATGTTCTTGGTGTTGACCCTTTGCTATGGAATGACTTAAACTTTGTTCTCAGTCTTTTGGTGTCGACCCTGTCATGTTCTTGGTGTTGACCCTTTGCCGCTGAATGAATTAAACTTTGTTCTCTATCTTTTGGTGTCGACCCTTTGCCGCTGAATGACTTAAACTTTGTTCTCAGTCTTTTGGTGTCGACCCTTTGTTGCTGAATAGCCAAAGCTTTGCTCACTGTTTTTTTGTGTCGACCCTGTCATAGCTTAGTGCCGACCCTTTGACTTGTTTTAACCAAGACTAACATTTGCACAAGTATACATATCCTTTTGCTTTGAGGTGCCAATACTTGTGAGAATATAATAATTTAGAAGCATACATCTTTGAAGAGCAAAGATATGGGAATATTTTGAAAATTTTGAACAATTAAATAAGCTCAAGATATTTGTCTCAATTAAAATGTACATAACTTTGGGGCTAACACTTTTCAACACACGCAACAAGCAACTGTTAATTTGTTGAAGATGAACCTCACCTTAATTAATAGAGGTGATTCTGTTGAGGGAAAAAAAAAAAAAAAAACAAAGACCCATTCTCCATCAATCTCTTATTCTCTATTCATTCTAAAGAGTTCTCCATCTCGTTTTTGAGTTACAGTTTGAGAGATAAAATAAAATTTAAAGTCATGTCAACAAATTATGTCTGATTTGTGTCTGATTTGAGATAGTAATTGACACTAAATGTGAAATTGATCCAAAATTCAATAGTTTAAATATAAAATTAATATAATCAAAAATATAAGGGTTAAATTGATTTTTAAATGAGAGCTTTGATGACAAAATGACATTTTTTAAAAGGTTTTTGGTATGTACCAACAAGTGGTCTAAAGACACCATTTCAAATAACCACGTGTGGAAATTTGAATTTTAAAAGTTTGGTTTAGTAAATAAGGTCTTGATTCCATGAGACTTTCTATATGCAACAACTCAAAAATATATATTGCAACAATTTATTTTATTTTATTTTTTTGCTAACATAAAAACCAAGCAAGAATCCCAATTCAAAACACCAACAATTCCCACTACCTACATAAATGTAATACTAAGTACTAATTGAAAGAAAATAGTTTCAATCACATCCTTACAACCTTAGAACCAAATAAACATACAAACAACTCCATGAGTTGTGTCAATCGATAAATCTAACTTAAAATAGTCTTAATACAAATATATATATATATATATATATACACATTAAAAGGAAGATTCAAAAACCTGAACATTTTACATTCATCAATAGTATCTAAACATATTCAATACGTTAACAATAATTATCTTAAAAAAAAACAACTAATAACAAACCATTGAATCAAATAAAATTCCGACAACTTTTTACAATTGTCCACCAACATGAAATCGTCCATTAACCATATTTAAAATTACTTGCACTTCCTCCCTGTTGGGTTGTTCCAACAACATTGGTGCATCCGGATAAATTGGTTGAGGGATGCCATTATAGCCAAACTCATTAATGAGTGTGACTACGGATTCTACATCATCTGCTCTCATTATAGGAAGACAATGCTCACTAGCTAAATGAGCACCAGCTGAAACAAATGCCCTATTGCTTCTAATTAACAACTCTCTTTGTTGCTGCAGTTCATCAAGTGCATGCAAAAATTGTAGAAGAAGATCATGTGCAGCAATTAACTCGTTCCTTGATTGCTGATCTTCCTCAATATGTGGCCTAAGTATCGCAACTCTGTGAGCATTTGCTGCATTTTCGATATCTAACCATGGAGCTGCATTTGGGAACATTATATCCATCGGGTAGATTGGCGTTGGCATTCCTGTCCAACCAAACTCGTCTATCAACCTAGCAATGTATTGGACATGAAGTTCTGTGACGACCGGGATTTTTGGCTTTTGAACAAGTTGCCTACCCAAATTATGGACCGACCTAGTCGCACATCTTAGATGTGCTTTTGAATCTAACAAAAAACCATGAATTTTTTCAAATTCTATAAGTCGCAAATATCCATTCATTTGTTGTTCAAATTCTACCCTTTCCTCATGTGTAACGTCTTCGTTTTCCATTTACTGTCAACAATAAAGCAATAGTCAATACAAAGTTAAATAACAATTAAACCAAATAATTATTTGTTACTATAGAGAAGAGAGTCAAAAAAAAGTATTACCTTCACAAATAAACTAAAATTACATTTGATTAAAAAAAAAAAATTATATTTGAAGTGAATTTACCATTCCAGTTAAAATGAAAAACAAAATATTCATAATTCTGCAATTTCATCAAAAGAAAAGTCTGTTTCATCGCTTGAGCACCACCTTCATCAAGCATATGCTTTCCCTCTAGAAAATGAATCCCCCAACAAAATGACAAGGAATGTAAAGAGAACCAAGAAAAAGATTGCAACGAGATCAACTTTTTAACAAAATTTTTACTAACAATGTCTTGCTATCAATTAGAAGCAAACAAATAAATTGGCACATCCGCCAGTGCCGTACTATCAATTAAAAGCAAACAAATAAATTGGCACACCCGCCAATGCCCTTGTTATCAATTAAAAACAAACAAATAAATTAGCACACCCGTCAGTGCCCTGCTATCAATTAAAAACAAACAAATTAATTGACACACCCACTAGCTAATGCCCAGCTATCAATTAAAAGCAAGCAAATACATTAGCACACCCGCCAGTGCCACGGCTAGGGGTAGGGAGTTTTATCTTTTACTTGTACATAAGTATGATGAAATTGAGGACTTGCAACAAAAGAAAACATAACATGAACATGGAAGTTAGTAAATAAGACAATGCTTAAGGAAATTTAAGATTATAGGGAGAACGGGAAGAGTCTTATGTGCTAGATGTTATTGTAACATTTGAGTCCTTTAAACTATTGGAGAGTGTATCTAATTCCTTTATTTTCATCTTGGTAGTCTTTGGAGCTGATGTATATTGGTTTTGGAGGAATACAATTCGATTTAGACTTGTTGAGATTGTTCGTTCACGTTTGTTTTCGTTGAAAACTTCTTTGGAAACTTGGAAAATTTGTTCTGGTATCGACACTAGTCTTTCTGAGGGTCGACACCACCTTGCTGCCTTGCTCATAGTGTCCCTGCTGGTTTATAGGGTCGACACCATGGATACCAAGGTCGACACCACGGGTACCAAGGTTGACCCTTGTCTAATGTTGTCTTCTGGGTGTTACTACTAAAATATAGGGTCGACACCACTGGTTCCCAGGGTCGACCCTTGTCTGCTGCACACATTAGGATCTCAGCTTTTCTTCTTGAGGGTCGACACCACTATCTTGAGGGTCGACCCCTGTGAGTTATTTTCATAAAGTTTGGTTCGGTTTTGGACTCAACTTTTTGGGGGTTTAACTTATTCTTTTCTTTGACTTTAGGGCTATTATTATACCACTATAAATAGACCTCAAACACACTTTTCTCATTCACTTCTTCTTCTTCTTCTTCTTCTCTCTCTCTCTCTCTCTCTCTAAACCGTGAATCTCTCTCTTAGAAACTCAACTTTTCTTACATAGATCTCTGGATCTACTTGGTTAGAGGCATCTTTTCACCTTGGTTCTTTGACAAAGATTGTAAGTCTCGTCAAAGGCTTTCTTTTTATCTAAGAGTTTCGTTGTGTCATCGACTTTGAGTTTTTTTCCGAGTTCTCCTCTTCACTTCAAGAGGAAGGGTCTATTTCCTAAACTCAATATGAGTTCGGTAGCATATTTGTGACGTATTTTGTTATTTATATTTGGTAGTCATTTGGTTGATTTTGAAATGTTATTTTGGGCTTGAGGGTTTGTACAAATTGGGGGGTTGTTTTGGCTATGATTTTGCTATTAAATCTGTTTTTGGTAAACAAACTTGCATTTGATTTTCTAAAATAGAAAAACCCCAATTTGTAAGAAAACCCTAAATGATATTGTTTTGGGAGTTAGAATTATTTTTGGTAAGTGATTTGGTTGGAAAGAGATAGAAAGGGAGAATGATTGTTGGATTTTAAAACAACGGGTGTTATTACTCTTTTGGAAAAATATATCTGTATAGTTATCTTTTAACTATCGCATTAGAGATAACTGTTTTGGCTATCGGTAGAGGTTAACATTGCCGTGTGTTAGAAATTGCTTGTGGATTAGGCAAATTCAAATCATTCATATCATGGAGCATGCAATGGATTTTGGAAATTGAAACTGTATGCTTTGGAAATAAGTTTTGGAAATTTTCACATTATGTTTTGAGACATTTGCATTGTTTTGAAAAAACAATATTTTGAGTTACATATATTGTACTATTGAAATGGGTAAATAAAATGGTGAATCTGGAAAGTAAGTATTGTCTCGTTGAAATAAGTTGGCCTGAGTGTCCATGATGAAAGTCCTAAAACCCGTGCGTATACATGGGTGCCGATCCCGCGGATGAAATTTCTGTGAAATGGCAATAATAGTACTTGTATAGCCTACATTTACATGGGTGCCGATTTACGGTTTCCTACGGACAAAATTTCTTTGAAAGATTGTATTTGTTTTGGAGATTTACCCATTTTATTTACTATTATGTTGGTTTTGGAACAAGACATTTGGAAATGGTTTGAGCAATATATTTGCTTTTTGTTCTGCGATGTAGTCGCATTTGATTTAGCAATGTTTTTGCTAGTTGGTATTGAGATACCTAGATTGGTTTTTTGGAAAATGATTTTATATCAAACAGATGATTTGAACTCAGAAAACGATTTGATTAAACGAAAAGTTTTGGTAATTGGAAAGATAGGATTTTGTTGAGAAATCAAATGGATTTGAAAATGTATTTGGGCATATTGTATATATGCATAGCATCATGATCATTTATGCTGGTAGAGCATGTTTAGTTTTTGAAATATTCTCTACTGGGCTTTATGCTCACCCTACGTGGCTGAAAATGTTTTTCAGGTATACATGTGTGGATGTGGACTGTAACGTGAAGTTGTGTTCAAAACCATGTAGGGTGGTTCAGTTATTTGTAGGCCATGGGCCATTTATGTTATTTATTGGCCATGTGCCATTCTTGTAAGGATTACACCCTTGTGTCTGATGTAAGCCTCAGGGCGTTCAATTTAATTTATAACATTTGTGTATGTTTTTAGTTACAGAACATTCATTTGACTTAGATGTATTTAGGAATGTTAAAACTGGATAAACACATGTATTGTGTGACTATATTATATTCATTTGCATGAGAGTTGTTATTTACTATTCATCGGTCACGTGAGCCGGACCGTGTAAATCCGAGGCATAACAGTTGTCTTCTCATCTTAAATATTACATTGAGATATTCCTTATAGCTTTAACCAACCAAGCCACAAAAACCTTAAATAGGACAATAGCATCCACCTAGTTAATAGGTTCTTATTTAAAATTATCTTGGTTTCAAATTAGCAAACATCAGAGAGTACCAAATTTGATTCTTTACATCCTTGTACCCCAATACAGACCACCAAACAACAAAAGAATCCAACCTAAATTTTAATTTAATTAATTTTTCTCTAATTTTTTACCAAATTGACCCCCAAAAAAAAAAAAATCATTCATAATTGAACAACATATAGTGCGCACACCCTAAGAACCTAAATTTCAAGGCAAGACAACACAACTCAAATCCTCAAAAGAGCAAAAAAAAAAATATATATATATATATATATAATAATAATAATAATAAACGCTCATTACTTTTATACAATTTTCTCTTTTTGAGAAACAAAAAACATATAAAATTCTCACTTCAAAAAATTTGGCCTAATGGTTGAGCCACCTATGCAATCAACCAAAGAAAATCAATAAATACATACCCCAAGATCAATTCAAGGGGGTTCCATCAACAAAAACATAACAAACAGCCAAAGTTGAGCAAAATGAAAGAAAATGGCTTTGATTAAAAGTTGTTGAGTTTTATTTTTGTTTTATAAAATAAAAGGGTTTTTTCCATAAGCCTATAAATTGAAACTCCAATATTCAACATAAAATCCAGTTGTACTTAAAATTGATCGAGAGACTAAACAAGCTACAATATGAGCATTATGAATCCACTAATTCCACGAGAATGATTATAACATCAAACAGAAATAAATCACAAATTGCCAAATAACACCAAATGAATCCCAAACCCTAGTTTCGCTTGAAGCCAAGACCCAAAACCCAAAGCCCTAGTTTCGCGATGTCAGGGATTACCTGAGAGGGCGAGATACGATCTTTTTTCCTTGGTCGGTGATGAGAGAAAACCCCCTCCGGCGGCGTCGGTTTGAGAGAGAGAGACGTGAGCAGTGAGAGGGAGAAGTTCGCTTTCGATGCGCGGTGGTGTGGAAAAAAGACTTTACTTCAGAGCGGGAATCTTCCTACAAGTGAGCACCAACTCAAATGTGTTAAAAAATGACTATACCTCCGCCTTCGGTTTGATTCACCGAATCTGTTTGAGAGAGATGAGAGAGAGGGCGATGCGTTTGAGGAAGAAATGAGAGAGAGAGAGAGAGAGAGAGGCGTCTCAGAGAAAGAGATAAAGGAGGGGAAAAGGGTCAATTTTCTTGAATTTTGAATGCTCCGACGTAATTCGGACAAGTCGGGCTAAGAAATTTGTGTGGAACAATCTTTTTTTCTTAGGAAAAGTTTGGAATTTCAAAATTAATTTATTCACAATAGAGTATATGGAGAAATTTGTGTGGAACAATCTTTTTTTTCTTAGGAAAAGTTTGGAATTCCAAAATTAATTTATTTACAATAGAGTATATGGAGTATATGTGTTGTAGGGGTGGCCACGTTTGAGGTGAGTTGCATCTCCCGCTCTTGCCCCCATTTTCAAAACCCATCCCTAACCCTGCTCCCACTCCAATCCCATTATAGATGGAATTTTTCAATCTCATTCCCGCTCTTGCAGATATCTGTAGATATCCGATTACATTTTAAATAGTCAAAAAAATTGACAACTATTTAAATTTTTAACACACTAAAAAATTCTCTTATTTCCATATATACAAACAGTGAGACTTTTAGAATTATTATCTATTTATATTTAAAAAGAATTGCAGACTTTTAATATTAGTTTCTTATATCTAATTATATTATATATATACTAATATGTTATTTTTTTATATATTTATACTATTATTAAGTGAAAGTCGAAATTGATTTAGTGAAACATTCTTTTTCTCATGCCACGTGGTAACTTTATATATGCCAAAATAAAAATAAAAAATTATACACAGCGTAAATAAGTTTTGAATTCAAGATCTTGAGTTTTATTAAGAACATATTTATCACTTAAACAACATACATATTATGATATTAAATTCTTTATTATATTTTTATTATTAATTATGTGAATTGCACACGCATCGAGTGTGCCGTCCGCTAGTATTATTAATTATATCGAGTCGGATTTGGACCGGGGGACGCAATACCCGCCTCCACCTCACCCCCATTGCGAGTAGCCAAAATATAATCCATCCCCGCCCCACATAAGTGTCGGGTCTGGTAAGATCCACCCCATTCGAACAAGTATGGGCGGGCCTCCGCGGATCGGACTAAAATGGTCATCCCTAATGTGGTGCAGATTAAATTGATGAACTACGAGTGAAATGAATTTTTGTTTCTAGATAATGAGCAGATAATTTTGAGTTTGTAGTATTACTATTTTCCGAGATACAGAGAAAGGGAGGGTAGGAAAGGAGAAATTATTGGGTGCTCTTAGAACACCAAGTCACCATTGACTGATGGTGCTCCAGGCCAATCAAAGTGCACGCCATACAAGACTTTTGCCAGTAGATCTAAGAACTCAGCATCTTATCTCACCATCTTTAATAAACTATTAATTGACATTCACAGGAATGGTCACGGCCTAGGTTTGGGATAGATTTGTTGTGATTCACGCTCGTCTCGTTTTATATCGGGGTCAGGACTAATCGGAGAATGTCGATGGTGTAGCGGGTGTGAGACAGGTGACGGGTTAATTTGATAAGTTCAATAATGAAAATATTAATAAAAATTATGTGTACTATTGTATATTGTGGATAATAATTTATACTTAAAAACAATTATAACATATAAGATAGAAAATAAATTAATAGAAATTAATATTAAGTATAATATTTTAGTGTTTTAATTTTACCATAGTGAAACAAAAATTAAATTATATATATTCTACACATATAAATATATTTAATAAGTATACTTGGGGTGAGGCTGAATAGAATGGGCAGGGAAAGAAAAACCCGTCCCCACACCACTTCCTCAACGGGGTGGAAAAAATCCGAGCGGAGAGGGGCGGAGGATGCGCGTACAGAGCGGAAGAGGAGAACACCCATTGTTGTTGGCTAGGATTTTCCAGCAAGGTTTGTTGCCTGTTAGGCTGTTACCAGATGACTTAGATGTGCACAACTTTGTACCTTGCAAAACACAAAGATAATTGTGGGCTGTTTGTTCCAGCTTTAACAATTCCAATTGATCATTAACAGGGGAAAGCAAGTGTTGAACTAAAACAAAGTTTCACATTCTTATGATGTAGTGAAATTGTTGCGTTTGGGGGCTACACTCTGAGGTTATATTTGGTTGATTAGAATGGTGCTAGATGAGAATGGAATGACGGTTGGAATGGATTTGGAATAGAATGAGATAGGAATAATCATTCCTATTCCGATGTTTGGAAATAACATAGGAATCAATGTAAGAATGATTGCCATTCCAATTCCTATGTAATGATGATTGGAATGGAATGAAATTTGTAATAAATTGGCCAAAATACCCCAATCTTATGATGTGGTGAAATTGCAATGATGATTGGAATGGAATGGAATGGAATGAAATTTGCAATAAATTGGCCAAAATACCCCATTCTTATGATATGGTGAAATTGCTGGGTTTGGAGCCTACACTCTTAGGTTATGTTTGGAGCCATTGCAATAAATTGGCCAAAATACCCCATTCTTATGATGTGGTGAAATTGCTGGGTTTGGAGGCTACACTCTTAGGTTATGTTTGGAGCCATGTTTGGTTGATTAGAATGATTCCACTCCTGGGATGTTAAGCATGTGAAGCAGGAAGGGAATTCGGTAGCCCATTGTCTAGCTCGGATGGCGATTGCTATGGAGGAGTTCTCCGTATGGATGGAGGCAGGAAGGGAATTCGGTAGCCCATTGTCTAGCTCGGATGGCGATTGCTATGGAGGAGTTCTCCGTATGGATGGAGGAGGTTCCGCTTTCTTTACCCTCGTTAGGAGGGAGGCGTCTCTTTGATTTTGCTATCTTGTTCCGTTATTATTTTGACTATCTTAAAAAAAAAAAAAAGTAAGAAGATCGAATAAAAAAGAAAAAGAATAAAGTAACAAGATCCAACACATTAGCTAGTATCAACTAAGAAATAAACAGGAATATAGCAAAGTAATAATAATGGACATCAGAGGTCTCCATTAAGTAAAGCCTTCACAAATTATTCTCTCTCATAATCTTCCAAGGTGAAGAAGCAAGCAGTAACCTCATGCTCACGTGCTATAGCAAGCATGGCTCCGTAGCGCTCAACCGTCTATGGATTGGAAAGCTTGCAAAGCTCCTCGTTGATTTTGTCCCTCTTCAAAGCTATATCCAAATCCACACCTAGTGCTCGACTGAATTTATCTGTTGCTTCTTCAATCTTGGTGCCAATAATCATAACTGCTTCACGAAAGGCATCCAACCTGTCACTACTATTCTTCCTCTTCTTTCCTTTATTACTGTTTCCTTCATCGTTGATGGAAGCATTTGACAATGTATCAATTTCTTCAACACTCAAATTTTGTGTCAATGCTCTCATTTCTGCTCACTTCCTCCAAGACATCATCAGCAGTAACCGCATGTTTTCCCATAGCACGATCTCTCTCGAAGATGATGCACAACATGTCACAATGTGGGAAACTCCTATTTTTCCAGGGAGCAGCACGCTTGTGGCTCTGCAGCAATATTTAATTTTAATAACAAGACATCACAAAGCATAGATAATTGATTTATACTAAATTTATTCTAGTGTGGTCATGTGAATAAAACATAATAATTGACCTATCATGGATCACAAAATTTTAATTTAAATTCTTTTAATTTTAGTAAAAATCAAGCAACGAGATCAATCTACCTATGTAAAATAAACTAGTCAATTTACAAGAGCTGAAGTTACACAATTCACTAGCTTAACACTGATGTAAAATAGAAACAATTCTTAGAGAAATTGACTCAATTCACAACAACGATCTTGAACGAATCATGCTATCAAAAAAGTTAAAAAGACAAACACAAACATCATTATTAGACAAACAATAATAGCTCCAGCAACAAACACACCAATGATTCTTTACGAAAATTTCTAAATGTTTTTGTATCACTCTACACACAATGCAGTGTTGCTATACCATTGCACACACTGCTTTTTGTCCCACAAAAGCACACACAAGCCTCATCACATCTGTATATATATAAATACGTGAGCATGGATAAACCATCAACCCTTTTAGACTTCCCAAGAAATCTACCAACCACCCAATAATAATAATATTAAGGCCTCGTTTGGGAACAGGCTAATTTAGTAACTTTTTGGCTATTTGGCTAAAAAGGTAGGTAAAAAAAACTTGTATGTTTGGGATGAATTTTTGGCTAATTACGAAAAGATGTGCAAAAAGTAGAGAGAAAAGAGAATCTTTGACTTTTTGGTATGGGTTGTTGACTTTTTGGCTAATTTAGCAACTTTTTGGCTAATTGGCTAAAATAGCCTCTTGCCAAACGAGGCCTAAATTCATTTGGTGTATTCCTGAACCCAGCAGACCACCATTTCCAATGAGCACAAATAGTGTGCCAATTATAGATAATAAAGACCTATCTAGAAACCACTGTGTACCTCAATAACATGGGCAGCTGTATGGCTCCCAGTAAAAGAAGCTGAAGTAGTGATCAGGTGAGAAAGGAGAACAAAAGAAAGATGGAGGACAATTATCTAAATGTTTCTTAATCTGTCCTTGATCAGAGTGAATTTAAGAACAGGTCAGATCTTCAAAGTCTTTACTCATAACCTCAGGTATGCCTACAGTCCTATCTGGTTATAAATCATTAAATACACCATGCTTTGATTGTTTATAGATTAAATTTTATTGGGTTTGAAAAGAATATACAGAACATGCATGTTAATATGGTTGTTGTGTTGACATGTATAGCTGGCTCTCTTAAAAAATATGCATTTTGTATGAAATTCTAGAACTAGCATTGCTAACAGCAACTTCAACATGAGTTTAACAATCAATGCAAAGGTTGACTTGACATGGATAGAAAGAAACACATTTATGATCAATGATAATGACACTACTTAAATCAGGTTCATAGATAACAATGACCTCAATAGCTCTGCATTGCAGCAACAAATGACTAGTGAAATAAGTGGAAGGCACCACAGATAGGAAGAAAGAAATGAAGAGAATTCAAGGTAATATAATACCTGCACATAGCCATCCCACACTTGTTTTTCAGCAACCACCATATTTGTGTTGAAATCCCATCCAAATCCACTGCAGCCCACTCCGTTAACCATATCAAACACAGTTCCAGTATCCCTTTTCAATGTCTTGACCCTAGATTCTGTGTGGCTTAGCCTTAATTCCACACCCCGGCAACTTCTCATGCAACACTCCTTCAAGCACCCTAAGAAAGCCTGACTTGAAATCATTGTCAGCCTTGTGATTTCCTGTATTGACCATGTCAAAAAGAGCATAAACCAATTCTCTATCCTCTTCATCTGTCCACATTCTCTTGTTCTTCCCTGGCCTTTTTCATCCATATCCATGGCTAAATATATATGATAACCACCACAACCAACAACCCAATAATGTGACAATAATAAGCAGCCATAATAAACAAAAGCAATATAATAAATAAAGAAATTATACTCACTACACACTACAATAAAAGTTCCAACCAAAAACACTTCATTCTCAAAACCTGTAACTCATTGACCAAATAAGAAGCACATCATGCCTTTCCATTTCTTAAAACCCTTTTATGTTGCATAAAGATTTCAAGTACTAATACCAAATGGGTGGTCCAAAAATATAGATAAGCCCAAAACAGACTATTCAGAAGCAAACACACCATCAAATATGCACACATTTCCAGATTATATTTTACTTCGACTATGGCTCAAAGTGAAATCCAGACCACAAACAAGAAGTTGAATAAATAAGCACAAAAATTTGACAACAAATACAAGAGATCCATGAAAACAGAGTATATATAGCAACCAAACAGCTTCAAATACAACTATTATTAGCAAATCAAACTGTTACTTTCGCTTGTCATTTGCATTTGTTTTCAAAACCATCTAAAACTCAAAACATGTTTCCAAATAAGAGAATTGCCTCCATAAATTTCATAACACCTAACTAAATTGGATTCAAAGCTTCAAAACTACCATATAGAAACAGTCCTGATTGAAACCCCCACAAAAAATGTTTCCAAATGTTAAGGATCCAAAACCAACAGATATTAGTTAGAAATCATATAACACCAATTGAAAAATAATAATAAAAAAGTGCTTAACTTATGAAAAAGACAACCATCAAAAATTGCATTAATAAAATGTCCCAATGTAAATTAGAAGCAAAGTAAGCCCAAAACATTGTAAAATTGAAAAACAAAATCTCAAATCAACAAATCAGAAAAGAAAACAATTCTATATAACAACAACAACAACAACAACGCCCAATAAGTACACATTAATGTGTGTTTGGGAGGGGAAAGATTCAGTACATACCTAACCTTTAGCATAATACGTAAAGTGGTGGTCCCAAGACTTGAACCCATAACCTCAAGGTAATTAGGCCAAGTCTTAACCATTAAACCAATGGTCACCCCTATATTAAAACAATTCTATATAAATGAAACTATATTTATGTTCATATATACACGTGTAGAGAAAGAGTAGGATACCTCAATTTTCTTCAATTTCAACTAGGAACCAAGAATCTGTTACAAATTAGGAGAAATTAATAAAGAAGGCAAAATCAAAACCCCAGATCTAAACAATAGCTCTTGAATTCAAATCAAATCCTAAATCTAAATTCGTCACATCAAAACTGATCGAAAATCAAACCCTAGATTTACCAGATTGATTATAAGCAATGATGGAGAGAGAGAGAGAGAGAGAGAGAGAACAAAAAAAAAGAAATCCTGCAAAGAAATCTGATAATCAACAAGGAATCTTTGTATTTGACTTATGAAAATTAATGGAAAAAAAATCAATTTAATGTTTTGTCACTCCCATGCATAGTTGTCAAATTGGAATTCAAATCGTGAATCGAAAATATACCTACACACTTAGATATTAAATATATCTAATAAATATGAAATATTTAGATTTAAATCAATGAAAATATTATTTTAAATAATGATCATGTGATTTGGGTAAGAAGTCAACACGAGTTCTCACGTTTACCACGTCACATTTACCCTTTTAGATACTATTACTTATCAACCATTCTTAGTAAAGAAAACAAACAAACAAACTTTCAATTTTCAAGTAACAATAACTCAACAACAATGTTTTAACTTTTTACAAGGTTAAAAAACCAAAATCTTCAAACTATTTCAAAAATCTCATTTGATGCCTTCAAAAGATTCATTTTGTAAATGCAAGTACTTAGATAAAATTGAAAATGTACGCTTAGAATATTGTAGAGAGAGAATGTTCATTTTTTTTTCGCTTAAGGTTTGAGTATTTGAGAGTAAATAGGGAGGGAGAAAGTCAAAACATGGCATACATAATCCTAAAAACCTTAAAAAGGTTGTGTGAACCCTTTTCCCACAATAAAAAATCAAAAAAGAAAGCCAAACATTGATTTTGGCGAATCGAATCGATTTAAGGTTCGCGATTCGGTTCACCGATTCACCTATGATTCATAACTATTTGCAATTCACACAACCTATTCGTATCGATTACCCACTGAATCAAATCGAATCATACAATTCAAATCGCGAATCGTACAATTCTAATAATAAAGCTCCCATGTGGAATTTCTTTTCAAAAGTCTACAATAGTTTACTTGATCTATGTAATTTAAATGGAAATACAAACTCAACCCTTCAAGCAAAGCAAAAATTAAAAACAAACAAAATGAACTCCACTTTCGTAGGTCTATTGATTGCATTTAGCATATGCAACAAACCTTTAAACTCCTAGGTTACCCCTAGTGGATGAGTTATAGTCTTATGAGGGTTTGTAGTAAATATACCCACAAAATTCAAAAACTATCCTCAATACTTTTCTTTCATTCTCATACAACCAGTTCAAGTGCAAAGCCATGAATCCCATCACCTTAACAGAAAAACCAATACTAGCAACAAGTAAAGATATCCCACAATATTCAAAATCTGGAGTGTGTGAATAAGTTTAGCCAACACAAATACAATTTCAATCTCAAAGTAGAACATAACTCAAATTTCTTTTAGAAATATACTCTGACTCAAATCTCACTGGATAATGCACTCAACAAATAAATCACTCTGAAATAGGTGCAAAATTACCCTCAATAGATATATGCGAGCGGAATAATGTAAGTCATGTTGATCAGATATCGATAGCTATGTGATCAAATCAGTTCTGTATAAAAAAAAATGGACGGTGAACAAATTAACGGTTGATAAAAAACTGATTTGATCACATAGCTATCGATATCCGATCAACGTGATTTTTTACAAGCATATAGTACTCGACGAGTTCTACATATTGAACGGCTTGGATTATCAAAACGGGACCCGTGGTGGGTCTCCACAGGCCCAACAGCACCATCCAGTTCGATCTCAAACTGGAGGCAAACTGCTCCCTTTTATAAATTCCATAACTAGAACTTGTATCACATTTGATCATATTCATTCCGCGTATTTTGTACACCCTCTTAGGGGTGCATACCATATATACCCTACCACAAATTGATATAACTTTATCATAAAATTTCGTAACATCAACCACAAAATGTGTAATCTCCCTATAAATTATCATAACAAAATATCCAAAATTTTATAATTCATATAACAAAAGTTTGTGGAATTTTTTAATTTATATAACAAAAGTTTGTGATTTGGTTACGACATTTTTTATTGCACTAATTTGTGGTGATGTTACACATTTTGTTAATGGTATTATAGAATTTTATGATAAAATTACACTAATTATAATAGGATACATATAATATGCATCCCAAGTGGGGTGCACACCATAGATTCATAAATTACAATTCAATTTAGTCCCATAACTTTTAAAAGGACCAAAAAATCCCTTTTTAATGTACCACTAAATTTGGCAATGGAATCCCAATTCAATCCATTGCTTGATTATAAGAGAAAATTTCATTAGAATATCTAATTTATCTTCTACAATATGATTTATTCTTAAGATAGCAACTATAAAATATTTTGTATATTAAAGTGAGGCATATTGAGTTATTGTGCCCAACACTCTTTTGTATTATTAAAAATGTCTATAATAGAATCGAGATTAAAATCTAGCACCTGATCAAGTAAATAGGTTATACCTTATTCTATTCTTTAGGAGCTAGGACTTGTAATTAACACTAGTTATAGTTGATCAAAAATATTAACACTAGTTATAAGAAATTAATTTAATTTATTATATTTTGTCCATTTTTTTAATGTTCTACTTTGATTCTATGTTTAATAGATATAGAGTGATGTCCCCTTAAAATTTCTAAAAGAAGAAGAAAAAAAATAAAAAATAAAAAAATTGAGGAGGTGAGTCTCTATAATATGTAAATAATTGTAACTAATCTATATATTATATAAAGAAAATGAGGTTTTTAGTGAGGAGTATTGTGAGAGTTTCGATATCTCATACTAATTTTCTTGATTTTCTTAATTTTAAACAATTAAAAAAATCTCCATCAGCTAGCTAATTAGTTTATAATTTATTTGATAATCCCATATTGGGACAAGAATAAAAAAATAAATTGTTTTACTCATATAAAGTCAATCTTATACTTCCATTTAATATTATAGTATTGTGCATGTTTCAATTTAATATAATTTAAATTTTAAAATAAAATTTAAAAATTTTAATTGATTAACTTTTGTGTAAGTTGGTTGGTTTTTGACCTCACCGATTAGGCAGAATCATTTTTGATTTGACTAATTCGTTGTTTAATTCGAAATAAATTAAAGATTGATCTGATTAAAAATTGAACGACTGAGATTGATTGATTAAAAATAAACTTCCCATCCAAATTATTGTTAACTTTTATTTTATAATCTAACATCGGAAAAAGAAGAAAAAAAAATGAGTTGTTTTATATATATATAAAGTGAACCTTAATATTGTAATACTGTACATGCTTCAAATCGAGCCAGTTTAAATTTTAAAATTTAAATATCATTTAAAAGTTTTAATTAATTAATTTTTGTACAAGTTGGTTGATCATTTGACTAAAAGGTAAACGAATACCCACTAGACTAAAAGGTAAGTTTCATAGAACAGCTATTAGACCGGCTATGTTGTATGGGACGAAGTGTTGGGCAACCAAGAAACAACATGTAGATAAGATGAGTGTAGCTGAGATGAGAATGCTAAGGTAGATGTGTGGTAAGACTAAACAAGACAGGATTAGGAATGAGTGTATTCGGGAATGGGTAGGAGTAGCACCGATAGAAGATAAGTTGAGAGAGAATCGTTTGAGATGGTTTGATCATATTCAATGGAGACCAACAGAAGCAGTAGTGAAGAGATGCGATGCTATAACGGTAGATGGAAGTGTTAGGGGACGAGGTAGGCCCAGATTAACATTGACTAGCGTTTTAAATAGAGATATGAATCTACTTAATTTGACTAATGAAATGGCCTTTGATAAGACCGCGTGGAGAAGAAGGATTCATGTAGCCGACCCCATTTGATGGGACTTAAGGCTTGATTTGGTTTGGTTTGGTTGATCATTTGACCTAACCGATTAGGCTGAACCGTTTTCAGTGAGGAGCATTGTGAGACCTTCAATATCTCATACTAATTTTCTTGATTTTCTTAATTTTAAACAATTAAGAAAATCTCTATTAAGCTAGCTCATTAGTATATGATTTATTTGATAATCCCACATTGGGAGAAGAAAGAAAAAGTGAATTGTTTACTCTTATAAAGTGAACCTTATATTCTCATCTAATATTGTAGTATTATGCACGTTTCAATTTAATATACTGTAATTTAAATTTTAAAATAAAATTTTAAATTTTAATTAATTAATTTTTGTGTAAGTTGGTTGATCTTTTGACCTAACTGATTAGGCTAAATTATTTTTGATTTGACTGATTCGTTAGTTTAACCACGATTTTAGCAATTTTATTGTAGTGGTTTTATTAAAATATATTGATTAGATTTTTTTGATTCGAAATAAACTAAAAAAATGATCTGATTAAAAATTGAACGACTGAGATTACTTGATTAGAAATAAATTTCTTGTCCAAATAATTGTAAATTTTTATTTTATAATCACACATCAGAAAAAGAAAGAAAAAGTGGGTTGTTTTACTTATATAAATTGAACTTTAATATTGTAGCATTGTGCATGCTTCAATTCAAGCCAATTTAAATTTTAAAATTAAAATATCATTTAAAAATTTTAATTAATTAATTTTTGTATAGGTTGGTTGGTCATTTGACTTAACCGACTAGGCTGAACCATTTTTAGTTTGACTAATTAGCCGGTTTAATCGCAATTTCTCATACTGATTTTCTTAATTATAAACAATTAAAAAAAAATTCATTAGCTAACCTTCATTTAACCATATAAAAATAAAATTCTAATTAGTTTATAATTAATTTTATAATCCCACATCGGGAGAAGATGGAAAAAATGAGTTGTTTCACTTATATAAAATAAATCTTATACTCCCATTTAATATTGTAGTTTTGTGCATAGTTTAGTTCAAGACAGTTTAAATTTTAAAATAAAAACTCTAATTAATCTATGATATGATTTATTTTATAATCCCACATCAGGAAAAGAAAAAAAAAAGTGAGTTGTTTCACTTATATAAAGTGAATCTTATACTCTCATTTAATATTGTAGTGTTGTGTATGCTTCAATTTAAGATGGTTTAAATTTTAAAGTAAAATTTAAAAGTTTTAGTTAATTAGTTTTTGTGTAAGTTGGTTGGTCTTTTGACCTAATCGATTATGCTAAATC